GTTGATATAAAATTGATGATGTCCTTATCGCAGTGTGCAGAGTCAGTGCCGCTTGTTTGCTCTGTCTGAATATCAGCCTGTGTGCTGCCCCTCGGGGATTCACCCTCTGGCAGGTGTGACCATGCCGAGACACTTTTTACTCCAGGGAGTGAGATGCACTTTAACGGTGAGAGGAAAGGGTCACCATTCTGTTTAACTTCTATTTTTACGACTAACCCCGTTAGAAAATCAATGAATCCACGAAGAAATCCAATAAAGTGGATGCTTATACACGTATGTCCTTGTCTTCTTTTACCGATAGTCTTGAGCCCCGAGAGGGGTGAGGAAAAAGAAGGGCTTTACTTGCCATTGATATGAGCACACATCAACTGACCGGCAGAAATACATAAAGTCACATTGGAAGATTTAATAGCTAAATAGTCAAATATTTCTCTCAGGAGTTGGTGGAGACCAAAAATAGAGAGTGAATATTGGATTTACATTTGTCAGGTACTCACTAACACAACACCATATATCAAATACGTATATTCATGATCAAAATGGCAAAAAACAACCCAAACATTAGAACTCACGGTCCACTATATAGCATTTTGTGGCTCTTTTTAAATGCATCTCACTGTCTTCTTTAGCGACTTGAGTTGGCTCATTTGTCATAGTGGAGTTAAGATTTTTTTTTTTTTTTGTCAAACTACTGTTTCCAAAGTCAAGAATGAACTTTTACACTCTACCATTAAATCATTGCTCTACAGTAAAACTAGTAGTCTGGATTTGACACCTGTCAGTCTGCCACAAGATGCAGTGTGGCATTTTGAATCAACTCTCACCTGCCTCTCACAATTTATTCTCAGACAGCTTTTTCCTCACCACCCCTCCCCACGACTCAGCAAAGATATATTATTTGCCGTGTCATGACCGGCTGTGTGTGGAGCATTTAAAGCATGGGGGCTCGAGTGACACACGTGTCCTGATAGGGGCTGTGAGTCGGACCCGCGTACTAAATCTGTGGACAATAAATCTATATGATGCATACCACCGCACCTCATCTGAGCTTTTTTTTAAAGCCTCGGGCATATTAAGAAGCAGAGCAGCAGTGGCCCCGCTCCCGAGGTCCATGTCAGAGGGGAGGGCAGCGGTGATGGAGGAGGAAAGGGGGGTTATGAGGGGGAGAGTGGAGGATGCAAATGTAACTGGGGTTTTAATTACACTTTCACAAGAGAAAAATAGTCAGTCAGTCAGTACAAAGATCTACTGTACACACTCTCCTCGCGGATTATTTAAATGCATCGGTCGCAATACCTGGTGACACGTTATAACCTTGAGTTGTCTACCCAGCATAATGTCGACACACAAACACAGCACCGACCAAGGCCTCCGAACTCCTTCTGTGATCCACACATCGATTGTACCGATTCCAGGCCTGATACTGGAACAGTGACAAATAAAGATTTATAGAATCATACAGATACAACACCGAATTGAGCCCAAAAAAAGAAAACAAACATAACCTGAAGTCAATAACTAATCCTGCTCACAAAAGAGCTGCAGCACTTACCAGCGATCGTTAGTTAGTGCAGTCGTATCAGGTTGGAAGAACTTAATGGCTGTGGTAGACGATGTATCATGTTTGCAACTTGCGGCTTTGCTGCCGACATACCAACCTGATTCTATTCCTCCCCACTTACGTAACCATCAGCATCAAGAAATGGTTAAACATATCAGCAGCATATTGTTGACTAATATATGTGGTTTGTTATATTGTTGAGGTATGTTCTTAAATCTATTGATGCTATTGTATGTTGGGTTAGTGGATGTGAGTGCATCTGACTCATATCTAGAGGTTGGATGGGGATTAGACATGTTCATTTCTGTGTTGAGCCTCCTTAGGGATTCATTCTTTCAAAATACAGTAAAATGACAACGTTTGTTTTGCACGACCACCATACATGACAGTACAACCACCTGCACATGTGCAGCTATCAACAGTAAATACTGCTTGCTGGGCTAAAACGTTTTAGAATGATCAAATCTGATAAAAGACACAACTTGTCTGAGAGACGAGGAAAAGTTTGGAGCATCAGGGTAACGTTATCCCCAACAGAGAAACAACGAGCTGTGGAGATGGGGAGCCACTGCTGGAGGTAGTGAAGCGAGGAGGATATGACATTATGAAGTCCAACAGCTGCTGCAGCCACATCGCAGAGAGTATTATAAAGTCAAAGAGTCTCAAGTAAAGGATGATAGCTGAGCAAAGACTCCACATGTTTGAAAATATAGAGTCAAGGCTTAATGAGATGTAACTGGGGGCTGAATCTTTCCTCCAACTTAATTTTAGGTTCAAAACTTGATCTGTAATTGCAGATTAGGCTGCAGGAAAGCAGAGGAGACTTCATAGAGTAATCGCAATAAACAGAGTAAGAAATGCAGAAACACAATGCACTTCAATGAAAGAAAATTGGCACACTGACAGCTGGTGAGTCATCCCTCCATTATCCTTATCTGCTTATCTTATTCAGGGTCAAAAGAGGGCTGGAGCCGATGCCAGCTGACATTGGGCGAAGGCAGGGTACACCCTGGACGGGTCGCCAGGCTATCAAAGGATTGTCACATAGAGACAGACAACCATTCACGGACACATTCACACCAACAGGCTATTTAGAGTCATCAATTGACCAAAACCTGCATGTCTTTGGACTGTCGGAGGAAGCTGGAGAACCAGAAGAAAATACCCGCGCTGACACGGAGAGAACATGACACAGAAGGGCCGGCCGCTTTAAGTCAATTGTGTCATTATTGTTTATGTGTTCATTCTAGCAAATGTTGTAAGTTGGACCAGATGGGACCTCACTGTGCACATGGAGGCCAGATCTGGGTCGAATAAACGAAGTTAACAGGAAGAGGAATAAATTGGATAATAACCATAAAACAGTATTCTTGTTGCACCTTTTCTCTGATTTACATGTAACATAGATTCTCTGTGTTGCCCTTCTAACCCCATTTCTATTTTCCTGAACATCTCCCCAGAGTGCTGCCACTGAATTGACCTAGAAACCCAACTAAAATACCAACTGCCCAGTCCCACTGAGGCGATTACATGGAGGTGGTATTCACAATAGAACCCAAGTGTCTTAATTCAGCCCAATTACAGGTATGAGTGTATATGGGGGAGATGTCGGAGTAAATGTCACCGTACAGTTTTTACAGGTAATTACCTCGCTTCGGTGTGACAAGGGGGTTATTTGGTGGGAAGGGATTAGAACAGACCATAAGGGTAGGAGTAAATTCTGATTTTGGAAGGCACATTTTTACCGGGCCACGCATAATTAAGAACACTGCTTTAACACCAAATGCCAGTGTTTGACTACAATGAATTGCATTTTAATACAGACTTAATTTCTGACATTTTGAACCCTTTTTTTCCTTTTTTTCCTCGGATCATATTGTGGGTGTCTGTGCTGTATTGCACAAGTATGGCAGCAGCAGACATATACACAGAAAGCATCCAAAAGAGACTTGAACTTCTAAGGTTCAGCACAGGGTGAGCTATCTGCAACGAGATAACTTCTCTCAGCCTGTGCTAGAATATATGGACACCACGAGGGTAGATGTCTGACACTCATGTTTTAGCAGTTCGCTGCTCCTCATTATTCCAGTCTGGAAATGCCATATACGTACATACCCCGAGTATATGTTTTCAGTGCTGGCATTCTATTTCACAGATAGAATCAACCAAAACAGAAAAGAAAAAAGCCATCGGAAAGCAGAAAGCCTATTTAAATTGATTTCCTCTGTGGAAAAAAAGCAGCTTACATGTCAAATATCCACACCTCTATATCCATCTGTGACAGATTGCAAAGTCTCTTGAGGCAGAGTTGTGATATTGGGCTATGTAAATACAATTGACTTGACAGGCCAGAGTCATGCTGAGTTTACCAAGTGTTACTCAATGCTCTAAAATGACCTCATCCCCATCTTCTGGTCGAACCAACACCAAATCGAGTTGCCTGGAAGTCTCACCCTTCCTTGAGGCTAAATCTAGACAATGAGCCAACACCTCATTTCCTTGAGCCTATACAGCAGTATATTCTTAGGACTTCCCTCTGTGCCAAATAATGACCACTGGACTTCCTATTAATATAGACTTCAGACAGGTGTGGAGGCTGTAACGCAGAAATCTTCATTTCTATTTTGACCTGTGAGCATCATTGACTCACTTGGTGAATTTTATTTGACTTGTTTGCATATTTAATGCATAAGTTCATTTCCGCACAGCAATTTAAATGCAGACGAACTAGAATACATTTGATTAGTGGACCAGCCACTGACTCGCTCCTCAGAGAATGTGCTCAGCACCACGGACAGCTCCGCGCATCAATACGTGCTCAGTGGACTTTAAAGCAGGACTAGGAGAGAGACGACAGCTCCTAAAACTTTGAGGTGGACTTTCTTTTTTCTTTTTTTAATGGAGCTCTGAGCACAGCGGGTTGACTTTAGCGTAGTACATTAATTGAGCCACATGATGATAGTCCGATTGGTATGCCGCAAGATTTACAAGCTGCTCTCTTCCCTCACGGAACCACCAACGTGCTCCGCCCCCCCTCCCCCACCCCCGCAGCCCAGACGTCAGCTGCTGGACAGCGGGCTACAGTGATTTAAATACGGACAGAGAGGAAAGGTGCCTGTGTGAGAGACAGAAGCGTCTCTGGAAATAGTGAGTGTGACATACAGTGGAGCAAAGACAAACCAAAAGTGTTTGTTTTTTTCTTTACATTTCTAACAGCCCCCCCCCCCTGTCCCTGAACTGAACAAAGTTTTGACATCCTCACAAACAACGCTTTTTATTGTCCCACATTCCTTCGGCTCTGCTTTTTTTTTTCCACTTGACATTTCTTACAGCAACAAGTGTTGCTGGCTACCAGCGACCGGTTTTCTTTACATTGTTTTTTTTTCCACACACACACACACACACACACACACACACACACAGGAAAAAAGAGAGACATACGACATATTAGCTGCCGTTCTGTGCGCCGCGGACACCCAGTGTGCCACCGGACTGTGATGATCGTGTCCAACGTGAGCCTGAGCGGCTGCGCAGGGGTCAACAGTGCTCTGTGTGCCGCAGCCGGGGAAGGGCACCTGAGGGGAGGCTCATACCGGGCCACCCTCACCCCGACAGGGAACCTGATCGTGGCTGTGTGCCTGGGCTTCATCGGCACTTTGGGACTAATGAACAACTTGCTGGTGCTCGTGCTCTTCTGCCGCTACAAGATGCTGCGGTCGCCCATCAACCTGCTCCTGATTAACATTTCCATCAGCGACCTGCTGGTGTGCGTACTGGGGACACCGTTCAGCTTCGCCGCCAGCACGCAGGGAAGGTGGCTCATAGGAGAAGGCGGATGCGTGTGGTACGGCTTTGCCAACTCCCTCTTTGGTGAGTAGAAATTCGGAACCTAGGAGGCGATGATCATACGTTTTGATTTTGTTACATTTGTAGATTATTGTATTTAAAAAATATATATATATATTTCAGATGTGGTTGTGAGTGATGGTGCGTTGTTTGGATGGATCCTTCCCGGAGCACTGCGCTTGTCAGAGTACATGATGTTAAGCTTAATTTCTAAGGTCAAAAATAAGGATTTAGAAAAATTAGGGGGGGAAAACATTTGAGAAAAGGTTTCGTTATCACGCCTGTTGCGATGGTCTCATTAAACTTTCAGAGAAACGCATGAAAATCATTGTAGCCAATACAAATCGAACAACAGATTCGGAAACATCAAACCTATTATTCAGTCAACTGATTCGGTTTTTATCTCTCTGCATACTTGAACAATGTCCTTTCTTCCCCTCAAGCTTTCTCTCTTTCTGTCTCTTGATTTTGGATGTGCTCATCGTGCAGTCGGTCATTACAGAGATCGTTGGTCTTGGTAAAGGCGCGGAGTGTCTTTTTATCTGTTTGCGAAAAAACGTACGAGGTTCAGTGTGGAGCGATGTTGCGGATCACATACTTACAGCGATCCCATGATAAATCATGCACATGTGCAGGTGTTGTCCAAGTGATGAGTTGTAAAAAAATAAATCAATCTTGTGTGGCTCTTCATGGTGTGGTACAGGTCATTATTTCCGGTTGGGGCTGCATGACAGAATGTTGAATCCTTTCCAACTACAGCTGCACGTGCATGCATTTTCATGGCATACAATTGCTGGGGGTATTTAGGGAAGCATATGTTGTGCTTAGCGCTCCCTCTCAGTTAGTCATTTGTTCAAACATCAGTATAGGAGCTCTGGAAACCTGTCATGCAGGACTGTCAGTGTGATTTGGCTGCTGCACGTATACTGCAAATGAAGCAATGTGTTATTAAATGGCCGCTAAACGTATAGTAGTAACTATATTACCATATAGTTGAGTGTCTGTGCCCGAGGCAAGGGAAGCCTCATCACTGTTCGTTTAGCTGCTCGTGCAGGTCTGTGGCGGGCTGTGGGGACACGACCTCAGTCCACGAGCAGGCGATGGCAGGTGCATCAGCAGCATTTGTTGCAGAATAAAATCACCCGGGGAACATCCGTAATGAGGGAGGGGACTCTGGTGGTCTACATTGGCTCAGGAGTGCTGATATCGATGCAAATGGGGCACAATGATGCAACTGAGAATAAGGCACTCACTCTTACAACTGGAACCGGGCCAGGCTGGGATGCTGGGGGGGGGGGGGGGCTTTGTGTCCATTTTTGGAAGGCCCAGGGCGCTACGTAAAAGTTGCAAATAAGGATTTGTTTTTATTAAAGGAAAATTTCAAAAAAACATTCGTTCCCACTGAGAACTGCATCCATCAAAGCTTCAAATGAGTAATTTGGATGGAATAAGTTTGATGCTAAACTCAAAAGAAGACTAATTTGCAGAGTGAATGCTTTAAACATAAAATGCTCTTCTATCATCAGGAGCAATCGGCTCGATGCCTGATTTAAAGTTATTTAATGAAGAGGCTTTCTTGTTAGTCCCATTAAGTGCTTTAAAGCTTTCAAAAGCATCAAAAACCGTTGAAGGCCAGGCAGCCAACATGTTACATTTGCTCTGCTGTATATTCCAGATTCAATCAAAGTGCTTTTTTTGAAGAGTATTTGTCAAATCAGGATTTCAAACGAACCACTTTTAATAATTGTTGCAGAATTTCAGACGAAAAAAAAAGACAGGAAAAGAGATGTAGTTGGTATTTTGACTTCAAATTTCGTTGTCATAGTCATTGTTTGGTTGCAGTCAGATTCGTAAGCCCTCAGAGTTCTCCCTGTTCATAATGAACAGCATGCTTGACTTGACTGAGATCAGATGTCAACAGATTCAATCTATATGCATATCATATCAATTTCACTGCATCAGAAGTGGTTCTATTTGTATAGATAGACCAATTATAACTAAAAACAGACATTTTAATAATCTCTCATGATGTCATTACTTTGATGGTTTGTTATAGCAATACAGCCCACATGAAACATAAGCACTGGTATGCTCAGCTTCTTTTAAAATGAATTCCTAAAGTTCATTGGTCATTGGAATGAAAATATGCCAACTTTGTAAATGGCTTTAACAGGATAGAAATACAGTATCTTGTGAAATATTTTGAGCTTTTCAGAAACAGAGACCTTCACCTGCCGTTACAACTGCACAGTGACTGCACATTGTACGCTGGACGTCCGCAGTCAGCAGCCGTGGCTTTCGTTTGAAGTTTGAATAAAGGGCTCATGAATCCTACACAAAAGGTTACCTCTCACTCCCTTTATCGCTCTCTCACTTCACTGCATCTAATTGGATGTTTAAAGCCTTGCTTAAAGTGGAGCACTTTTTGGTAGCCATGCACCCACAATCATAGTACACAAACTAAGCATCAGGGCTTCTGATGCCTGTTGTAACTAAAGATTTTGAGCATTTTGGCCTTATCTACAGTTTCAATATCACCTGTTGAGCCATCTCCAACTGATGTAAAAGTGACAGTTCACCCCAAAATCAAAAATACATATTTTCCTTCTTACCTGTAGTGCCATTTATCAATAGATTGATTTGGTGGGAGTTGTAGAGTGATGAATATATTGTCCTTCGAGATGTCTGTCTTCTCTCCAATATAATGATGGCACTATAGTCTCTTTACGGAATTTAAGACACGGTTACTCAAGATAATCCACAGACCTTGAAATAGTTCCGACATGAAACTGCCATGTATAGTTGTGGTATATTTTTGCATTTCTGTAATTGTTGCGTCTCTTTCAGTGACAGCCCAGCGGGGCTCCTGACCCCTTGGGCCCCTAGGCCTATGTCTGGTAGGCCAGTTCAGTAATCCATGCAGCAAAGGATTACTTAATCTACTGCTACAATTTTGCTACAATTTTCACACAGTATCTTCAACTTAACTGAATTTAATTTTCCTTTACTTAAGAGCTTCTTGAAAATGTTATACATTTAACTTGAAAACAGACTCACAAGTGCTACTTCCACTTCCTCTGGGATAAATTGGCAATTTCCAAAACAGGATTACTTTATTTCAGTCACATGGCGGAAAATAAAGCGAAGGTTTCTCAGTATCTGGATGCACTCTGATTGTATCCCTTGTCTCGTTAACCCTAGTGTTATGTCGAGATTTAGCACCATCTGCAGATGAACACCGACATCCACAAGGAGGCAATTTATTAAAATCTGTCTGACAGGCCTTTGGCTTCTACCAGCTAAAACAGAGCAGGAGGAGAGAAAGAGTGAGAGTGTGTGAACAAGAGATCGAGACAGTGAGAGAGGAGAGGGAGAAAGAGAGAGATGGCTCGAAGACATCATTAGAACCTCCATTGGTTATGGAGGAGTAATTCCTCAATGGGCTCATAAAAGCAGAGTCGAAGAAAGAGTTAAGGGAGGGTCATGGAAAGGAAAAGTGACGTTGATTATTGAAATAAATAATGCTGGGTGCAGCTATGACAAAGTGAACGTGTCAGTCTTCACCAAATCTCTATAAAGCTTTTCTGAATAATTTGAAGGAACATCGATCAGAGGGTATAACTGTCAATGACAAAAGACGTTGTTAGCTTGGTGTCGGGACATTGTATTCCTGCTCCCTCATGACATTGCTTTAAACTTTTTGCTTTTAGCATATGACGTCTCAGATATTTGAATGACTGAACAATTGCCTTTGACTTTATGCCAAGAGCACAAACTGAAGACAATTTCTGCAGACGCGTGTGTGTGTGTGTGCGTGCATCAGTGCAACTCACCCTGTACTTTTTCCTATGTCATCAGCCTCCTGGCATCCATTTAGCTGCTTCACCTCTTCTGCCCTCCTCTTTGCATTTTCCTCACTATCTCACTGAACTTTTATTGTCTTCTCATAATGTGGAAGAAACAGGAGAAGATCTTTATTCTGTCTTTATTTAACATCGGGTCTACGTGTTCCTGCATACTGTTGGCTGCCTCCTCCTGCCTCAAGTGGACTTTGCACACAGTCACTGGATTAACCTTGCACTGCTGGGCCCACTCGCTGCATACTTAAGTTATATTGCCCTCCTGCACGTATGCTCACACACGACCTGAGCGCAGATGCGGGCACAGAAATGGATGAACAAATACAAGGGAGAGGAAATGCATATACAGTTGTGTGAAAAAGTGTTTGCCCCCTTCCTGATTTCTTATTTTTTTGCATGTTTGTCAAACTTAAATGTTTCAGATCATCAAACAAATTTAAATATTAGACAAAGATAACACAAGTAAACACAAAATGCAGTTTTTAAATGAAGGTTTTTATTATTAAGGGGAAAAAAAATCCAAACCTACATGGCCCTGTGTGAAAAAGTGATTGCCCCCCCCCCTGTTAAAACATAAATTAACTGTGGTTTATCACATCTTTGGAAAGCTGAGTTCAATTTCTCTAGCCACACCCAGGCCTGATTACTGCCACACCTGTTCTCAATCAAGAAATCACTTAAATAGGACCTGCCTGACAAAGTGAGGTAGACCAAAAGATCCTCAAAAGCTAGACATCATGCTGCGATCCAAAGAAATTCAGGAACAAATGAGAAACAAAGTAATTGAGATCTATCAGTCTGGAAAAGGTTACAAAGCCATTTCTAAAGCTTTGGGACTCCAGCGAACCACAGTGAGAGCCATTATCCACAAATGGCGAAAACATGGAACAGTGGTGAACCTTCCCAGGAGTGGCCGGCCGACCAAAATTACCCCAAGAGCGCAGCGACGACTCATCCAAGAGGTCACAAAAGACCCCAGAACAACATCCAAAGAACTGCAGGCCTCACTTGCCTCAATTAAGGTCAGTGTTCATGACTCCACCATAAGAAAGAGACTGGGCAAAAATGGCCTGCATGGCAGAGTTCCAAGACGAAAACCACTGCTGAGCAAAAAGAACATAAAGGCTCGTCTCAGTTTTGCCAGAAAACATCTTGATGATCCCCAAGACTTTTGGGAAAATACTCTGTGGACTGACGAGACAAAAGTTGAACTTTTTGGAAGGTGTATGTCCCATTACATCTGGCGTAAAAGTAACATGGCATTTCAGAAAAGGAACATCATACCAACAGTAAAATATGGTGGTGGTAGTGTGATGGTCTGGGGCTGTTTTGCTGCTTCAGGACCTGGAAGACTTGCTGTGGTAAATGGAACCATGAATTTTGCTGTCTACCAACAAATCCTGAAGGAGAATGTCCGGCCATCTGTTCGTGACCTCAAGCTGAAGCGCACTTGGGTTCTGCAGCAGGACAATGATCCAAAACACACCAGCAAGTCCACCTCTGAATGGCTTAAGAAAAACAAAATGAAGACTTTGGAGTGGCCTAGTCAAAGTCCTGACCTGAATCCGATTGAGATGCTGTGGCATGACCTTAAAAAGGCGGTTCATGCTCGAAAACCCTCCAATGTGGCTGAATTACAACAATTTTGCAAAGATGAGTTGGCCAAAATTCCTCTACAGCGCTGTAAAAGACTCATTGCCAGTTATCGCAAATGCTTGATTGCAGTTGTTGCTGCTAAGGGTGGCCCGACCAGTTATTAGGTTTAGGGGGCAATCACTTTTTCACACAGGGCCATGTAGGTTTGGATTTTTTTCCCCCTTAATAATAAAAACCTTCATTTAAAAACTGCATTTTGTGTTTACTTGTGTTATCTTTGTCTAATATTTAAATTTGTTTGATGATCTGAAACATTTAAGTGTGACAAATATGCAAAAAAATAAGAAATCAGGAAGGGGGCAAACACTTTTTCACACAACTATACATGTGCATCATGCAGGCACAGGCAACACCGGGCCTGTTTGATGTTGATTTGTTGCGACGGTAAGAAGAAGTTTCAGTGGGGGCAAAGCAAGCAGAACAATGCTGCTCCGCCATAAAGGTCAGAGTGAGCAGGCCAGCTGATGAGTAAGAGTAATTAATAGTCTTAGAGCAGAGACATGAATATGTTGTGGGTGATGGGTGTCTGGTTTGAGTCGGACATCAGTGTGAATGATCATCTTAGTACGTGTGGATAGTACTTTCCAAAGAATGTTGTCACAGTGCTTCTGTATACCTGTGACGACTGAGGGAAAAGACCCTGGGGTTTATAGAGCTAACACAGCTTCATTTGATCCCGTGTTTTTCATTCAAACCGTCTTTTCTTGGATGTACGATATCAGACAGGTTATACCGATCAGGATAGTTTCAAACAAACGAAAGACAGAAACAGTGATCAGACATCACAGAGACAGCAGAGCAAAGATGTTCCTTTTCAGACATTATCAGATCATAATATTTTTCATTTTAGAATATTGGATTCAGCTGCATGCCTTTGATGCTGCCAGAGGACTAGAAGATGGATGGAAGGTGATGTGCGATTTTAAATGGTATGAAGCTGTAAAGTTGTTCGGGTGTCTTTCCCTATATTGCATTGCCTCCAATAAAGACTTGTCACCCATTGACTGTGTAACAAGGAAAATAAGAGGGTGGACATGTAATGGGATTAGCTGATATCAAGTGAGTATCAAGTGATAATCAAGTTTTCAAATCAAAGCTGATAAATCATAATCAACGACAACATTTATGCAGATCCTAAAGGCAAAAGGTTGTTGTCAATTGGCGCGGCAACGATGATTGACAGAATTACATTTGTATGCCTCTGTGCGTGCGTCATTGAGAGATGCTAATTTGCTTTTGAGAAAGTGTGATTTGATTTGGCTCCATTTATACTATCTTATCAGTCTGTCATCTCAAAGAAGAGCTACACCACATGCTCCCAATGTGGGTGTTAGGATGGAACTTACTTATATTTTATACATCAGGAAATCTAGGGGTGTATCATCTTGATCACATCATTAGTGATGCACCAATCCGATCCACTAGAAAGGATCGGTGGATCCGATACTGACCTTATTAAGTGGTCCCAGTATTGGCCAGATGTGGCCGATCCACACTAAATTAGTTCTCTTTGTCAATATCACTTACAAATTGAGTGTTTATGCTGTAGTTACATTCATACTGCCTCGCCAGACTGTTGACTCTTAGTACAGGTGCTGGCGTCACGTTACCTCACATAAAAAATGACCCCAATGAGTACACAGATCTTACATTTGGAAAATAAAAACACTGGCATCAAAGCTATTCTTTGTATCACTGTATACGGTTGACGTATATTGGAATTATTGATTGAAAGTATTACCTGCAGATGAAGTTTGCTTAGTTGTCATTGAACTGGAGATGGGGAAACATTCCATTATTCTGAGCACTTTTAGGACTTGTTGGCTTTGATCTGCAGATGAAAACCACATGATGTGGTCAAATGCTCTATGAGTCAGTCAGCTGAGATCAAACAGAAACACAAGAGGGTTGTTGTAAAACTGTGTTGACTTTGAAATATTGCAGTGACGGGGCTAATAAAAGCTATTAAAGAGCGAAGCAGTTTGTACAGGAAAAACATGAGCGCAATATCTGGAGGCTACAGACAAGCATGCCGGGCTGTGCCAAAGAGACTCAGTCAGGGGTACGTGCAGTGGGTTCAGCTTAATTTGTTTAAATCTTGTTTTACTGGCTACAACTCCTCCTCCTCCTCCTCCTCCTCCTCCTCCTCCTCCTCCTCCCCCCTCCCCCCCTCCTCTACATTTCCTCTCAAATCCTCAGTTTTCTCTTTCTCCATTGATCGTGCTGGGTAGCCATGGCATTGGCACCTTGAAAGGCCTGGATCGCCTACTTAAAAGAGCGTCCAGCTCAGCTTCGCTTCATTGCAGCTGAAAAATCAATGGGCATGAAGCACTGCCTCGTGGCTCATAATGGCTTCGAACCAAATAGCAAACAGGATAAAAGGCCGAGGGGTCAACATGAACACTGAGTCACTGAGCTCCAGGTTCTTGCTGCCGTGACTTTGACATACTGAGAAAGAAAAGGCAAAGAGAATGAAAGATAAGCTTCTCAAAATATTCTGTGTTGTGTTTCACCGCATTGCTTCTGTCATGCAGAGACACTACAGGTATTGCAGCTGTTTGTGATTTACAGCAGTGTGTATCTGCTGCAAACACCGGCGGCTGAAATACTTGATGATTTTACGACCACTTTTGCTGTAGTTTTATCATTTTATTAAATCATAACATGTCCTTTGGTATAAGTTAAATTAAGCTCCTTTTAGCAGCAATTTTCTTTTCAGAAAGAGCTTCATATCACAGTCTGTCCTCGCTAGAACAGATAAACATTTAGACAGCTAGTGTATTTTTGTCTCCATTTGATGGCCCCATTAAATGTGAAGTACAAGAAAGAACACACCTGCACAGTGTTGTGTATTGAATTGAACTCCTGTTTCTACATGCTGTGTGACTGAATCTATACTGATGTAAAGGTTACCTCTGTATGTGTGTGTGCCCTGTCCACCCTCTAGGCATCGTCTCCCTGATCTCCCTGGCTGTCCTCTCCTATGAGCGCTACAGCACCATGGTGGCGCCTACAGAGGCGGACTCCTCCAACTACCATAAGATCTCCCTAGGGATCACTTTGTCCTGGGTCTACTCCCTCGTCTGGACCGTGCCGCCTCTCTTTGGCTGGAGCCACTATGGCCTAGAGGGTCCCGGGACCACCTGCTCTGTCGACTGGACGGCCAAGACGGCGAATAGCATATCTTACATCATCTGCCTGTTTGTCTTCTGCCTCATTGTGCCATTCATGGTGATCGTGTTCTGCTACGGGAAGCTTCTGTGTGCCATCAGACAGGTGAGGAAATATGGGGACGGGGAAGGACTCCACTAAACATTCAGTACCTGCACAAACAAGTCTAGTTCCTCCTTCAACATTGGCTGTCATGTTAAAGGTCACCTGAGACAGGCTTTTCAACACTAAAACCACAAAAACAGACAAACAAATCTAAATATATTCCCATTTTTTAGAGGCTTATTACAGATCGTCAGTTGGAAAAAACTAAATACAGCTAAAAGGAGAGTAAATATTGGCTGAAAATAAACAGCTTTGCCAAATCAACTTAATATGTTGTAACAAGTCAGTGTGTTTAACTTTCACTTTTGTTGTTGAGCAGATGCATCTAAAAGCTTACAGCGCTCTGTCCACTCTGTTCTTTGGTAGTTAAACCTTTTTTCTGAAAGCTGTGAACCAAAACCTGCAGCTGCATTCAAACGGCTGTTTTATAGCAAAGGCAATTACGGTTATGAACCATAAACTGTGGTTTTAATCGCACTACAATTATCATCTGTGCCGTCACTGCAAGTCTATAAATTCAGACTCTGGGAGCTACATTTTGATGGTTCACATCACACATTACATTTGGTTCACACATTTATCTAAATGACTAGATTTGAATGAACTTGTCTCAAAGAGAGCATGCGCCGACTTTGTACAAAGCAATGTGCTCACAAGCTCACAGTGACGGGGAAAATATTGCTTTGATACAGTCATGATTTGATTCTGTCAAAACCAACAGTTTCTGCAGTAATCAATCAACTTTGGTCGGTTGTACACCTCTTCAGATAATTCATTCCCACCACTCTGCATCCAATTATGGAGAAACAAGTGGCATTCATGCAAATCTTGGGTTTATTCATCTAATCGTTCATTTGTTCCCTTGTTAAATAACCAATGTCAGAGCCATCTTTCAAAAATGTGTTGCCGTGTATTTCCTAACACTGGGTAACATTACAAACCAATTTTTGCATTTATAATTAGATAAGTTATAGTATTTGTCTATACACACATAAGGCCTACACACAAAAAAATGTGGTGCTTTTTTCTGCATTTAGAATTTTACCACAGCTTAAAGTCACACATGCAAAAAAATGTACATTCGCTTCCCAATTCACTTCCATTCTATGGGGGCGAAGGGGCGTAAAAACATTCGCTTTTGGTAGCGAAGCATGCATCTTCGGCAGCCGGTGGGTGCTCACCTGCATTCACGGATGTGTTACTCTGCCTTAATATGTCAAACCTCAAACACATCTAGCAACTTGTCCATAAAATAGTTAAACTCCCCTATCTAATAATGTGCTGCTCAATAGAGCAGTTCACATGGGGAAGACTAAAATCAAGTTTGGGTTTGTTAGTTGATGTGTATTAACAGGGCGGCCTAGCAGCAACCTAACCCGACCTGCCAGATGGTACAGCAACAGAAATGGACGGACAGACAGACAGGAAAAGAGCCGACAGCCATACAGGCCGAGCTCACCTCTGCTTGCTTGTGCTCGCTTGTAAGAGTCTGTCAGTGTTGTCATCTCCTTTTATTTCTCTGTGATAGGAAATTGTGTTCTTTATCAGTGCAGAAGACAGGAGCTGTGAAAGAGGGGTTTGTCTCTTCACAGGCACTTCAGTCAGGGAAAAAAACAGATGAATGCATCAGAGCTCTTCTTTTGATTATTGTTTATGCCTTTGGCCTCGAGTATACAAGCAAAAAAACTCTGCGCCCCTTTGCTAGTCAATGTATCAACAACGGTGAAAGGCTCGTCAGTATAATACCAGCTCTGTCTCTCTGTAACGTATTACAAAAGAAATCTGCTGCTCACGTCCAAATGTGCCGCTTCAACAGATTATTTTCTGTTTATTTATTTTTTCACATTAGGCCCCCTGATGTTCCTCACCACAAAAATGTGTGACTAAAACACACCACATACAAACACACACACACATACACCAGAAACATAACAGCAACGAGAAGGAGATACAGCTGTGAAAACACTTCTTAGCAACCCTTGGGATGAAAATTGCCATTATGCTTGCTTGATACGAGCTCGGTGGGCGAGTGGCGAGATGCTAGAGGTTACAGCTGCTGCTCTGCAAATGAAGCTGAGCGCTTAAAACACAAATTAGTTCTCCGTCAGACTGGCTGCAGGATGAAGCCCTTGTTCGCTTTGTATTACAAGTGTCTTGTGTCTCTGCTCATTGTCTTGCTGGGTCCTTGTTTTTTTACTTGTTTTTCTTCTTCTCTACATTCCCTTTGCCCTCTGAGCATCCATCTCCAACTCTGTTTCCCACTTTTGACAAGTCTTTGGGCTATTATGCTAATCTTACTTGTGTGTGTTCTTCATTCTTACTCACATCTCCACACATTCTCATTCTGATTGTCCATATCAGTGGCTTATTATTCTGAATCTGTGGGTAACACACACAGTACGATGGCTCATTTAAACGTCTGCAGTGACTGCTTCAAGCTTTTTCATTTGCCTTTTTACTCTTTTCTACGCCCTCTTCCTCTAATTCTCTTTCTCCATCTCGCTCTCTATGTTCCCTCTTCCTATATTACTTCTCTTTCACTGTTCCATCGTGGTCCATCTTTTTCACCTTGCTTGTCTCGGTTGCCATTATTGCTTGCATCCCATCTCCACCCCTAATCGCCTCTCCAAAAACATTCAAAAATGCCATTTTTGTACAACAATGAGAAAGATGTTGACATCTGAAAGCAACGAGTTATTTGTGCATTTACAACAAGCAAAACAAAACGAGGTGGGAAGCCTTTGTTGGGACTGCTGTGTAAATCATCAAATGCTGCATTTGGTCGTGGGTTCCCAACTGAAACAAAAGCTGAATATCCAGTAGAGTTAATTTTTCTGCTACAGAGCAAAGAAAACAAACCACCAGTGAGTGTTCGATTCTTTGGAGATTGTTTGGGATGAACCTGGTCGTTTGTACCCATGTGTCTCAGATTGACCTGCTCAGTGAAATGGGTGGACAATACGACCAAATTCTTCTATTACGGTACATGTAATTTTACATCCCGGTATATGGTATTTATTACAAAACAGTACTCGTTCTGTAAATACAACTAAGAAATTGTTTAAAAATAAACCCTTCCTCATCAAATTTGACCATTTTTCATAAAAACAAAAAAAACTCTTTGTAAATGGAAGCTTTAAGATTCCTGAGAACAATACTTTCAAGTGTCTCGGGTTAAGGTGTGAATAAATGCCAGCCTGACTACAAAGAAATACCAAAACAGAGCAGCACATTTCAAGTACTTGGGGATCCCCGACATCTGCCAAACCCCTCACCACCAATCCGTGGACATGATACAATCACACTCAGCCTGCACTTAACATCCAAGCTGTGAAACTCCATCAACTAGACCTTGCTGATACTTTAATTGATAACCTCATGCAGGTGCTTCGTCCAAATTATGGTCAAAAGTGCAGCCAACCTTCAAAATCCAGAAGAAAAGCTGAGATAATGATTTAATGTAGTGGGATGGATGTATAATCTGGTTTGAACTGTAAAATTGATAATGTGCCCATCAGCAGCTGCAGTCCCGTTTATATGTTTAAAGCAGTTCATCGTTTGTGGCAACAAAATCACGAGGAGGCAGCAAGCTGATGTTCATAAAAGGCAAAATTGAAGTAATATTAGCCAACTGAAAGTAAAGTTGGCTATCTTTCATGTTGGAATGAATGAGTAAATTGAAGGATTAATATCAACAGTGAACCATCTAAATCTTCCTCGAGAAGTTCGCTTTATGTTGCAAGATGAAAAGGTAAGGGTAGAGAGGTTGTGGTAGTGAATGGGCGTGTAGCATATCTGGCTCTAAAGTGGAAGACCTGAGTTATCAACCATCAACTAATGTTGAATTTAATCTTGAAGCTCTGAATTGGGACACGGCTTAAGGCTGCCTTATTAAAGCAAGCCTGAAAATGACTGACGTGATCTGATTAAAGCAAAACACGACACTTCATTTTCTTGTGTTGTTTCAAAGCAGAGCCAAGGGCCACTCGCTGTTTGTCTGTCTGGAAACACAGTCAGCTTCTTGTCTTTTTAAGATGTGTTAGCTCCCTAACGAGACCCGTCTTTGGTTTAACCTAAATTGTACGGACACTGGCATGCAGAGCAAGACCAACATTTGAATTTGTTCGACTCAAGTAATTAATTAAATATAGACAATAACAACCATTAGGTAATAGTTATCATCCGACAAAACTAATATCTGCCAATAGTTGGCTTGAAAATGTGTGTTTGTGAGAAAAGTGACTGCTCTGTATACGGTAGCCATCGTTTCTCTCTTTGCTCACATACTGGGCTCTTCGTCTGTCCTGACCCAATAAGCGACGGCCTAATTGGGGTATTTGGATGTGAGACCGCCTCTCATCTGGCACTGCCAGCCTCTGCAGCCATCTGTCTGTAGAGTGTATAGCAGCATTTCTCTGTTGGCTGAGATGCATGCATTTACACTCATTGGTCCAGCAAAGCAGTGATAAACAGCGTTGCGTTCCTTGAAATTATAGCAGTCAACCACAATTTACAGGACGCAGGTTTATTGAGGACGGATGCCCGCTGTTATGAGAGTGTGTGCTTGCCCCGTCTCCGCCTCGTCTGCGTTTCTCCTCGGGATATATAAATCTAACACACCTCTTGAGGATTCTGTATTGGAAATGGGGCAGCGCCCAGAGATATACAACTGCTTTGAGCTTTGCTCCTGCCCTATTTTCACATGTTCACTTGTTCCCCGGCCCTCCCTACTACATGTATATGCTTAAAGAAATGATGACTTTTGCCGGAGATTCCCATTTCCAACTAATTATTATTTAAAGCTCTGTAATTTGCCCTCTGCTTTCGTAGTTTCTTGAGACCAAATTTTCTTTCTCTGCGTGACATTTTAGTCTTGATACAGTATAAGGATGCTGTATAAATAATGACTTATGCTCCTCCTTTTTCTCAATTTATATTTGCTTGAGGTAAGTTGTATGTAGTTTACCTAGTTTGTACTTGGGAGCTAGGTTAGCAAATTT